AATGATTTTGAGAACAAAGTCCATTGCTATGAATTATTCCTTTGTTCTGAAAGAATCTTATGGTAACCTCTTTGTCATTAGGTTGTTGCCAAATTGTGTAATCCTTCATACTAAAATAAAACAACAAAGTATGGCCAAAAAAAAATAGTGAGTTATAATATTTTAAACAAAAACTAGAAATCTCGAGCCACAATATTTCAGCTGTTAAATTCTCAAGCTATGATATTTGGGGTGGTTCGTGGCACGTTAACTGACACCGTTCTAATGAAATTGTACCAAAAATTAAAATATAAATTTTGATTGGATAGCTGTAATAACAATCAGCTGCAAAAGATAATAAACTGAATCAAATTAGAAAATTAGGAAGAGTGCAGTTTGCTATATTAACTGAACTTCAGTTCAGAATATAATTCTATCTCTGTTCTCCATCTGCCATAAGAAAAAAACCAGTAAGAGCAACATCCCACTTCTAGCAAAGATGTCTTGAGGCTGTAATTATTATTTAGATTAATAGAAAAATATTAACCTCCCTGCTTTCACAATGATTCACAGGCCAAAAGTGTCATCATGGCTAATGTCAGTCAAGGTATTGTCATTGGTCAGGGTGTAATTTCGTAGGAAGTAGTTGTTTGAAAGTGACATACAGGAATCTCAGTTAGCAGGGAGAAAATCACTTTTATGTCACATCTGCTTATTTTTAGTTATTATATTCTCAATACCTAGACTTGAAATTTAAAAAAAAAAAAAAAAAAAAAAAAAAAAAATTGCTAGTGGTCTAAAGATTTATATATTTTACATCTGGATTTTGGCTTTGTACTGTGTAAAATGAAAAAGATGAGTGTGATATTTAACTAATAAAATAGTGATAAAAATTAATAAAATAATAGTAATAAAAAATTAATGAATTTAATTGAGAGCTTTTGCCACATCCTGCTTACTCCCCAGATATTGCCCCAAGTGAATTTCACTTATTTCGTGCCTTACAAAATTTTTTACTGGTAAAAAAAAAATTAATTCTAAACAGGATGTACACAATGAACTTTCAAGTTTTTTTTGCATCAAAACCAGAATTATTCTACAGCAATGGCATAAAAAAGCTGCCTGTAAGATGGCGAGACATTGTAGATAATGGAGGAAAATACATAATTGATTAAAATGTTAAATTGTGCTTTTTTATATTTAAAAATTTACCAAAAAATGCGCACGAATTTATGGACTGACCCAGTAAGTCATGTGCATAATTCTTATGACTTTGTACATAAGAATTAATCATTAGAGAATATTATCTAGAATCTATGTATCTATGTATCTAGAAATCTTTGAGTGTTGCTTATGTGGCAAAGTCAGTGCCATCGCTACAGCGTTACGTGCCCTTGGACAAACTGGTATGCTGGGTCCCTTATGACAACCACTAACAGAAATTTAATATAAATGGGGCCGGGCCACTATGCTCCTAGGTCCCTGGGCAAGTACCTATCAAGCTCATGCATTAAGACAACTCTGGGGAGAGGATGCCTCGAAACACCTTTGAAAAGTTTTTATTAGGTTGCTGACTTAAGCATTCGTAACTTGTTACATTGGTTGTCATCCAACATGTTTTTTTTTTTGGTCCCCCCCAAAAAATTGCTTTTACAACACAGCTCTTCTTCTTCCCTTTCCTTTTCTTTAGTATAATATTCTCAATTCCTAGATTTTTGGGGGAAAAAAAATGTTTTTGCAGGTGATCCAAAATCATACTTAAATATTTATTTAACTAATTTTTCCTTTAGAATTCATGGTAATTTTATGTTAATTTAGAAGTCAAACAACAAAAATCAGCATTATATTTTCAAATTTTCACAGGACTAGTTTCGTTGGTTTTACCGAACCATCATCCTCGGCTGCAAAAGCTCAAATCAAAGAGAGTGATTAGATAAGATACAATAAGAAGGACTAGACCGTTAAACTACTGGTTAAGACAGGAGTTAAGCTACTGGTGCCATCTGTTGATGAAATGAGAATTAAAACAATTTTCTTAAAGGCTGAAAGCAAAGATGGATTGGAATTAAATGGTCATTAACTAGAACCGAAGAATAATTTATGAATCCCATTCCAGATATGAATTCCTGGGGTATTTACAGGATTCCTTGCCAGTGCAGTTTAATTTACATTGGTCAAACTAAGAAAGCCTTAAAACTTCACATTAACCCCTTAACTGTCGCGGAAAACGTACAAGATTCATTTCCCAGTGCCATGGTTTTTCACACAGGCGCGCCTAGTTATGCGATGTATTGGGGAAAAAAAGTGTAAGTTTTACTTTCTAAAAATTGTTTACTTTCACAAAATAAAGAATAAAAGAAAAAAAAATTAATGCACAAAATTTAATGTTTTGAGTAAAAGTATTATGAAAATGATGTTTTCATCGATTCATTCATTTTTAGACCAGTAAAGTGTAATATCAGGTTTTAGTTTTATATCTTGTGAAATCAAAGTCCGTAATTCGAACTCGCCGGGACTTCAGCAACTCCAGATTAGGGGTTTTTCCGGATTATAGATCATCAATTTAAATCTGGTAAGATGGCATGCAGAAATTATACAATTGAAAATATGAAATCGTAATTTATGAAATAAAGAACAATTATGATCTAAAATTTATCAAAATTTACCAAAAAAAGCTTAATATTTTATTTGTTTACTTTATTAAACATTTCTTTCAATGGAAGTTGTTTAAGATGTTTCCACAAAACAGTTCCTTTTTCTTTTTCTTGTGTCATATATAGTGGACTTTCCAATGCCATACTTCTCGCAGAATTTTGAGAAGGATAGGTATTTATCCATTTTTTGCAGCAATTCCATTTTTTGTTTAATGGACATCAAAACATGCTTTCGCTTTGCAGATCCTTTGGCAGCTCCAGAATTGGAAACTCTTTTTGACATAATCGAAAGTTCAAGTTTAATTTTTATAAAATTGTTCTAACAGTCTGCAAAAAATAATAAGCCGGATCCAATTAGAAGATTAAGGAACAGCGCAATCTGCAACATTAACTGAAATGCCTTAGATAATTTTAGCCTAACTTATACCGTCTGTTATATATTAAATGCACATGCGTAAACGCATGCGCATACAGTTTTTAGCTTTGAGGTCCGGATTATAAACGTCCGGATTACAGACTATGTACCGTATTTCTTCTGAACTGGTTGAATGCCACGATTTTGTTCTTGATTTTTCATTTGCAACATGTTGGTTCATATACTCATCTACAAAATGGTTAGTTTCAGTAACAATATGAAGCACGAGCAATTCATCAAAAAATATAAATGTGTTTGAAACATCCGTTATATCTTTCTTTATTCCTGGAATCTACTACAAAAAGTAAACGAAAACGGAGAACATAGAATAAAAAAAAACACATTTTACTCAAACAACACCAGCCAATACCGCAGAGTCATTACTTTCATCGCTTTAGACACACCCCTCTCTCCAATTTCTCCCTACACTTCTCTGAAATAGTATCCTCCTTCGCATACTTTGTCAAGGTTATTGGGGTGTTGCATTCCAAAGCTTTATGAATAATTTTACGGATAGCAGCACAAAGCAAATTATAGTATTTTATAAAAATGATGTTTTTATAATAAAAAAGATCCCTAAAATGGAGTTTCGATCAATTCATTTTTAGACCAGTAAAATGTAATATCAGGTTCATCAAAATTCATCAAAAAATTATATATACGCCCATGGCAGTTAATTCATTGGCTGAGCAAGGCGTATGTATACGCCCATGGCAGTTAAAGGGTTAAGGAGCATGAGACATATGTTACAAAAAAGAAAACACAGAAGTCTTCTGTTGCCCAGCATTGTTGGTCCGAAAATCACACTTTCAATTTTTCCACAGCCAAAATTATCAAAAAGAAATCTTCCATTGGTGAATTAGTTTTTCTAGAGGCATTTCACATTCAAAAAATATTTCTGTTCTAGTTAATGACCCTAATTCCAATCCATCTTTGCCTTTAAGGAAATTATGTTTTAGTTATTGTTTCATCAACAGGTGGCGCCAGTAGCTTAACTCCTGTCCAATCTTTCTTATCTTATCTCATTCATTTGCAATTTTGCAGCTGAGGGTGATCAAAACTAATCCTGTAAAATTTGAAAATATAACGCTGATTTTTGTTGTTTGACTTCTAAATTAATATTTGTTCGACGTGTTATTGTATCTTATATAAAAATTATAAGTCTCTCAGTGTGTATTTGTATGATAATTTATAATTTCTCAGCTATGGCATTTCAGTTTTGATGGAGTTTAGTATATTACTTTTATTTACATTACATGTTAAAATATTTAGAGACCATTAAAGTTTTGAGTATAAATTGGTATGAATACAACTTCGATAATTTTCTAAAATTTTAAACAAATTTTCATGATAAATACATAAGTGCGTGCTGACGCTTTAATATGTCTAACCAGTTCACAGTTAAACCTCTGAAAAATAAAGCTTGTCTGTGTATAATTCTTGTTTTTTATTTTTAATATGCTATTTGAACTTTGCTTGTGTGGACACTTTTTATGAAAACTGGCATGTTTGATGTTCCTAAAAGTATTCTTACTTTGTACAAATTATGTTTTAAAAACCTACTGACTTATTCCACTTGTCTTCACAGTATCAAGTGTCTGATGAGCAAAATGGTTCATATGCGTTTTGCTAATTTACCAGATACTGAATGATTTCTGGCATACGTAACACAAAAATATTTTGACCAACAAGCTTAGAAACAACTATCATACATTTTTACAAATTTTGTTTTTTCTGTGTTTTTTCCTTTTGAAAAGATTATTTTTCGGGCAATGTTTAAGATCTGAATTGGTGTTTTGCATGTAAGATGAGTACTTGTTTTTTTAAAAAAATCTGCTTAATTAAAGCTGCATGCTAATTTTGCTGTAAACATTTTATATGTAAGTGTAAAAATGTATTTTAAATAGCTACAATTTTTAAAGTTTTTTTTTTTTTTTTTTTTTTAATTACAGCTTCCACTTCTCAAATTGATCAGAGTAGACTTATAGTTAGAAAAGTCTACAAAACCAATGAAAGCTCTTATGAAAAGTCAGAAAAATCTACTTATTTTCAAGATGACTTGGTAAACTCTTTTGTCTCTTTAAACAGTTTTATCTTACATTTACACATATTTTGTATATTGCCAAGAATATTAAACTGTCATCTTTTTAATTAAAGCCCGTAATATATTTTAAAATGATGAATATTTTTAATAATGTTTTTCACCTTAAATTTTTAAGTATCTAGTATTTGATTGATTAAAAATGCTTTTTATTTGATATGTATGTCTCAGAAGGAAGGTCCTCCATCTTTAAACTTTCATTTTTTTTTTTAAATTATATGTGTGTGTGCAATTAGAAAATGCAAATAAGTAATTTAATTATTTATTAATAATTTTGTTTCATTTCCAGAAGTTTTGACTTAAACTAATTTTATTTTGCTCCATTTTATATTACATAAAAAGGTTTTATTCCCCTCTTTTTTTGTCTATTATTTGTCTTTGTGGGCTATTTCTCCTTGTACAGTTCAAAAACTTTTTAAATGATTTTTATTTTGAATTTAAAAATTCAGTTTTTACACAGGTTGAGAAATTTTGGTTTTCCTCTTTGATGGCTTATGAATTTGCCATGATGCTCTTCAAAGTACTAATTTCTAAAAAAAATTTTGAGTTTGGCCTAATTCTATATTATATTATTTTGTACAATTAGTTTAAAGTTGAAGCAGAATATATCTTGATTATTGACTTTAAAAGAATAATAAAATTGTTTGCCTTAATTTCTTATTGGCATTTTAATATTTTTTATTTACTTTAATTTTTTATATTACCTCTTTTTACCAAGAAACGAGTTTCACACTTTAGAGGGCTCTAGAATGCATTCTATTGGTCTAAATGAGATAAAATTTGAGCTACAGATATTTCAAATAATGGCTTGATATTTATTAAATAAAAGTTTTAGTACAAAAATCTGCCAGGCGCTGTAACACACATAAAATATTTAATATGCTTTGTTAAATAATATAAAAAAGTAGCAGTATGACTGCTCAACACATCCCCGTTCATGTTTAACAATCTGCTCTAATCGCGAAACCATATTTTCCACAGCTGACCAGAGTGAGTCTGCCGAAATACAAAAAACATGGTGCTAAATGTTGTCCTTCAGATGGTGGTACAGATGCTGGCTTTTCGAGGTAGATATTGTCCTTCAAGAAACCCCACAGCTAAAAGTCAAACAAGGAGGCCATGCTGTTGGAAAATGCCAGCTGCTCACCCATTCATCTGTGAAATGCAATTACTTTACATGATGATCAGTGTGAGAAGGTGTGCCATCCTGCATGAAAATGATGTCCTGGATGCATCCATCCTGAAATTATGAGATTACAAAATCCCTCAGCATGTCGTAATATTGTTGTCCTGTGATAGAACAGGTTTTGATTGCATTTGCAATTATCTCTTCAAAAAAATATGGTCCAATGATAAAGGTAGCTGTAAAACCACACCATACTGTCACTTTTTCATAATGCAAGGGTTGTTCATGGATAGCATGACGGTTTTCCACTGTCCATATTCGACAATTGTGGTTGTTAACTTACTCATTGAGGCAAAAGTGGCCTTCATCAGTCTATAGAATGTTCCATGACCAAGTGGCATTATCCACCATTCGAGCAAGGAACTGAAGTGCATAAGATTTACGAACCTCTGAGTCCCTCTTCTGCAATAGGTGCACAAGTTTGATTTTGTAGGGATAAAAATTCAAAATCCACTGTAAAATTTTCATACATTGGAATATGGCATATCCAATTTTACATGGGAAACAACTGGTACACTCACACTACCATGCAGCAACTGCTTGTTGGGTTCAATGACCACAGTAGCCACATTTTTTATGCTTAACGACTGGATTTGCTTTCATCCTCAACCTGTAAGAATGACAAATTTCCCAGTTGTTTCAAATTTCTTTATCATCTTGCATAGGGCACATTGGCAACATTGAACCTCTTCGTATCTGCTTAATATGATGGAAATCTTTTACAGCTGCACAGGAGTTCTGCTGATTCTGGGAGAACAATTTTACCAATAGCTCTTTTTCTTGCAACATAGGCATGATGTGCAGAGAAGTAACTAATACTCGTGCAGAATTCACTTTCTTTTTATCCAAAGAATAATGCTAATAGGCATACACTGTAACGCAAATGATGTTTCATATTTTCAATATATGCAAATAAATACCATTTTACATTATAGCACCATCTATTGACAGATTTATGTATTAAAAATTTTTATTTAATAAATGTCAAGTGCGTCATTTGAATTATCTATAGTTCAAATTTTATCTCATTTGGACCATTAGAACGTGTTCTATTGGCCTTAAAAGTGGGAAAACTTATTTCTTCCTTACCCTGTATAAATATATACACACTCACTGTATGTAAGAAAGTAAACTTAGATGTAATTAGAATTACTGATTACACAGAATGTTGATTCATAATGAAAAGTGAACTTAACTGCAGTCGTAAACAACTTGTCACTATAATTTGTGCCTGTTTCAAAATATTTACATTATATATATATATATATATAATGTAAATATTTAAGCAGAAGCAACAATAGAAGCAGCAAGCAACAGTCCTGCTAGGCCAAAGTGTAGAAAACAAGTGACCAGTATTCAGGATGAAATCTTAATTCAGAATGAGTTAGTTTTGGTTTTCAATGTATTTGATTGAATAATTAGTAATGCTTTGAAGTTGGTATAGGCTATATGAGTTTTTAGTTCCATTTACATCACCAGCATTATGTAAAAGTCATATGACATAAATTAATCTTGAAATGTCGTAATGCAGAAAAAAAAAAAAATTACTATTTTTAGAATAGAGAAGGGAAATACTCAAATTAAAATTAAGCATTAAGGGGGCCATTTGCTAATTTAAATTATAATTTATATTTACATATTTTTTATCTTACCTATCCCTATTTCAAGAAGAGAAAGCTGTAGTGACACAGAAGCCGTTTTAAAGAAAAAAGTGCTGAAAGTGAAAAAGGCCTGTAACAAGTGAAGAGAAATGTAAATCATAAAATTTTGACCAATCTAATTAGTTAAATAATTATAAAATATAATTTTTAGAGTCCTGTTAAGTTTTTCAATATTTCAGTGCAAGTCTTTCTGTTTTACAGTCCACATAATCATAATTCTTCAGGGAAGGTTTTGTTTCCCACAGATTATCACAAAAAAACCTTTTACGTAACCACCACTTTTTCTAATTAACTGTAACACATATAGAAATTTATGATACTTATATTAATATTGATGAATTATAATTTAACATCATAACTATAGTAATAGTAATATTGCAAAAATTATGGTTTCAATGTTATTATCTTTCACTTGGAATTCCATATTTTACCATATTGGGCAGCCTCGCAGTACTTAAATAAACATTTCCATCACTAGATTGTATCAGCTAACCGGTGTGTTTTTTCTGCACTAGTGGCCAAGAGAAGCCATGGCAGTTATTTGAAAAATCCTCCATTCTTTCCATAAGGTGGCCTTTGTGAACTGCACTAAAAATATTCCATAATAAAAATGTATAAAATAATAATGATAATGTATTTAAAAAATTACACTCAGTCATAAAATGAGAGCCTTCAACAGTACCTTATATGAAGAGAACAAAAGAAACAATTGTTTAGAGGTAATAATGGCTCTATGTTGGAACCAGTACTACCTATACATACTCTATACTTGACATACGAGGGCCATCCAGGAAGTAGATTACGTTTCCGTCTGTGTCCGCTAGGGGCGGGGCTAGCGCGGCCATCTTGGGGTCAGAGCGTTGCGCAGCTCAGTCTGCATCTAGCCGTGCTAGTGAGAGGTTCGTGCTGTGCTCCGTTCAGATACTGTGACGGTTTGAAATGTCTGCGTTAATTGAAAATCCGCGAGCTGCGAGGTGCGCTCAGTAATAAGGTTTCTGACTGCAAAAAACTGTAAACCGATAGAAATCTATCGGCAGCTTCGTGAAGTGTATGGGGACAACATTATCACTGAAGGTGGAGTGCGTCAGTGGGTCATAAGATTTCAAAATGGCCGAACCAATGTTCATGACGAAGATCGAAGTGGGAGACCCAGCATAGTGACCGCCGAACTTCTCGAAAAAGTCGATGCTAAAGTCCGTGAAAATCGAAATTTCACAATAACGGAACTTTCTTTGAGTTTTCCACAAATTTCGCGAAGTTTGTTGCACGAAATCATCAGCGAAAAGCTTGGTTACCACAAGTTTTGTGCAAGATGGATTCCAAAAATCTTGACAGAGGACCACAAAAATCAGCGAATGGCTGCAGCGTTGAACTTTTTTGGACGCTTACCATAAGGATGGTGACTCTTTACTCAATCGCATCGTTACTGGTGACGAAACATGGGTGAAACATGTGAACTGTGAAACGAAATTGCAATCAATGCAGTGGGGGCACACAAGTTCTCCCCAAAAACCCCAAGAAATGCATGCAAACAATGTCGGCAAGGAAGATGATGGCGACTGTTTTTTGGGACAGAAAAGGTGTAATTTTGGTGGACTTCCTGGAAAGAGGCACTACAATAAACTCTCAAAGGTATTGCCAAACTCTCCAAAAACTCAGAAGAGCAATTCAAAACAAGCGCAGAGGAATGTTGAGCTCTAAGATCTTGTTGATTCACGACAATGCCCGGCCCCACACGGCAAATGTCACTCGTAAAGTTCTTGAATCTTTTAAGTGGGAGTTGTTTTCCTCATCCGCCGTACAGTCCCGACCTGGCACCGAGCGACTTCCACCTATTCCCAGCAATGAAGAAGTGGCTGGCTATGCAGCGTTTTGATGATGACGCACAGCTGCAAGAAGAGGTAACGAAGTGGTTGAAGGCGCAGGCGGCCGAAATTTTTCGACGAAGGAATTTCCAAGCTCGTACATCGCTACGATAAATGCCTTAATTTGTATGGTGACTATGTAGAAAAGTAGTATTTGAGTGTGGCTTTCATCTGTATATAATAAAATTTGTTTCCTATACTTTGTTTATTTTTTTATTCCAAAACGTAATCTACTTTCTGGATAGCCCT